AAGACCACCCGAGCTGGAGAGTATGCAGAGGATATCTGCTGCTACCATGGCCTGAGTCAACATGTCGACGTACCCACCCGAGGTGATAACACCCTGGACCTGGTGATGTCTGATTTCCCTTCACCAGCAACTGTTAAGGCACACCCGCCTATTGGACTCTCTGATCATGCTGTCCTCCAAGTTGACTTTCCTGTGAAGCTCACCCGTGAGCCCAAGACATCGCGTAGAGTCTGGCGATACCACCGCGCAGACTGGGAGCGGCTTGCCCACTTCTACCGAACAACAGACTGGGAGAGCATGCTCGGACCTGAACCGGATCTCAGCTGCGACAACATCACCAAGAGGATCCTCGAAGGAATGGCACAATTCATACCCAACAGAGTTATCTCATCGCGCCCCTCCGACGAACCTTGGTGGACACCGGAGTGTACAGCTGCAGTCAACACCAAGCGACAGATGTGGCACCAGATGCGCTCAAATCCCGACAGTGCTGATAAGAAAGCACACTACCGCACAGCTGCAGCCTCTGCACGCAGTACCATCCAGCGAAACAGAGAACGGCATATTACCATGCTCCGGCAGAAACTCACCACTGGTAGCCTTCGGGACAAGGAATGGTGGTCCACTATCAAGCGTGCGGGTGGCAAGGGCCGCAGCGCTGATATACCAACACTCCGATCTGCTGATGGAACTGAGTACACAACCAGTCAGGAGAAGGCCAAGTGCCTTGGTCAGTACTTCGCCGATAAGTGCAGCCTCGGCCCACAGGACTTCAATGAGGAATCTGAATTCCCCTTTGTCCAGCCTCGCTCCCAAAGCCGTCTCCTAAGTATTCGCTTCCGCCCTGCTGAGGTCCGTAAATTGCTGAGGGCCCTTGATCCTTCGAAAGCGTCAGGCCCTGATGCAGTTCCGGGCAGAGTCCTCAAAGCCAACGCTGAGCACCTTGCAGTGCCACTATGCTTGCTCTTCCGCCAGTGCATGACGTCGGGGACACAACCACAGTCTTGGAAAGTGGCAAGTGTCGTCCCAGTCCATAAGAAACGGTCAAAGTCAGCCCCATCGAACTATCGGCCCATTTCCCTCCTGTCGCTCATCTCCAAGACAATGGAAGCAGTTGTTAACCGTGCTCTCACCAACTTTCTCGAACGAAATAATATACTCTCAAACCACCAGTTCGGTTTTCGTCGAGGGTTAGGACCTGCTGATCTCCTAACAGGACTACACCACCAATGGAGCAAGATAGCAGCTGCTGGCGGTGCTGTACGTATTGTTGCCGTCGACATTGCGGGGGCCTTCGATAAAGTCTCCCACGCAGGTGTCCTTCACAAGGCAAAGGCTTACGGAGTGTCCGGGAACCTCCTCAAGTGGCTCCACAGCTACCTGGCGGATAGACGAATCCAGGCCGTTGTGAGTGGACAAACCTCACCTAAATTCCGAATCAGCTCAGGTGTGCCGCAAGGGAGCATACTGGGCCCCACTCTGTTCCTCCTATATGTCAATGACATGGAGGACCACCTCCCAGCCACAACCCAGCTCGCCATATATGCAGATGACACCACGCTTTATCAGTGCATCCCATCCCTGACCGCTCTCCCAGTTGGCCTAGCGCAGCTCCAGACTGCTGTGGATGCCTTAGCTGAATGGGGCCAGAGCTGGAAGATCGCATTCGAGCCGACAAAGTCGCAAGTCTTGACAATTTCGCATCACCGTCAACCCTGGCCGATTCCTCCAGCCACTTTCAATGGGGTGGCCATAGAGGAAGTGGAGGAGCTGAAGTTGCTCGGAGTGCTCTTTGATCGGAGCCTCTCCTTTCGCTCCCACATTCGACAGGTTGCAGTCCGTGGTCACCAACGTCTTGGCTTCATGAGGAAGGCCCTGCCCATTCTCGACAGCAAGGCCAAGTATGCAGTGTATCGCGGCTTCGTCCGCCCAGTACTTGAGTACTGCCCGCTTTCATGGTTGGGTGCGTCCCAGTCTACCCTGAACCAGCTGGACCGGGTACAGCACCGAGCCCTAAAGCTCATCGGCCCAGGGTCATACCTCCCAAGCCTCACTGTTCGGCGTCAAGTCGCAGCACTCACATTCCTGCACAAGCTGCATTGGATCGACGGTCCCCCAATCCTGACCACCATGACACCACCGAGGGCAGTTGCAAACCAGCACCGGCGCTCCACTCGCCACCAGCAAAAGAACCAGCACCAGCACCAACTAGCACCGACACTGCCCGCCGGAGCCCGTAATAGTGCTCTCCGATCATTCCCCCATGCCACGATCCAAGACTGGAATCGTCTCCCATCTGCCCTGCTACGCAACCTTCCCACGCAGAAGGGAATGCAGGCATTCAAGGAAGGCGCCTACAAGTCGCTCCGCAGCCGAGACTGGCGTTCAGCCACAGATGCCCTCTGAACACTCCCTGAACACCCTCTCTGCTTGCACCCTGGCTCCCCCTTTTTTATTTATTTTTTTATTTCTTATTATTTTTTATTTTTTTATTTTTTTATTTTTTTATTTTTTTTTTTTTTATTTTTTTTTTTTTTCTTCCTCTATCACATGTATCATCTTTCCGTTTTTCCTTCCTCTATATAAATGTACCCCCCCCCCTCCCCTCCCCCTGTGCCTACTCCTCCCCAGTTTTTGGTGCTCTGAAGTGTCGCTGAAGCCGAGACCTCAGGTCGGCGGAGATGCTCCAGTTTTCACCACCACAGTTGCGTCTGCAACCACCTCTACCATGCAGTATTCTGTTCTCGAGGTTCGTGGTTTCTCGTAAAAAAAAAAAAAAAAAAAAAAAAAAAACCAAGACCATTCGACTCAGCACCCCGAAGACTACAACTGGTGAACTTTTAATTTTTGCCTTAACTTCCCCTTTAACGAGGTCTTTATTTCCTATACTGACCAAGTACGAAGTCAATATTAGATGTATCACGACTAGCCTGTGTTCAATCCCTAAAAAGGAGCCAAATATAAGCAGTCAGTATAGCCCTAAGCTTAATCGGAGTGATTATATGCCGGAGTGATTATGCCGGAGTGATTATATGCCGGAATATTTGACTGCTTTGGAATAACAAAAAAATCTACGTTCTCTTACAAGCTTCGGTCAAGTATCTTCATCGGACGTCGGAAGTGTCCAATGGTCCGTAGGCACTTGAGAAATGGTCTTCTACTGCTTCAAAGTACCATGTACCATGTCTTCACTTGCGAGAAGAGTGTTGTGACGGGGAAATGCCAACAGAACTTGACCGTAGTGCTTTCACACGGAATTTGTTGCAATACAAGACGCCTAAATATATTTCCCAAGTATTACTATTAGTAATCAGCCCCACTGATCTTACGCGATAAATTTTCATCTTTTCTTTTCCTATCTCTGACGCAAGTGAAACTTGTGATTGTGACCAGTGCGTGTGGTTCACATGGAAACGAATATGGGTGGTCGTACCTGCAGCTTTAGTGTTATGTGGAGCGACGGACCACTGTGCTTTTCCAAAATGCTCCCGGGGATGGAGTCGATGACTAGCAGCCGCACGATGTGATTCGCTGCCTTCCCACGACCAGCTGCACCATGATGCTGGGAATGCTGTGCGTGCTCAGTGTAACGACTCCTCGCAGGCGAATCCTCGTTCCACTCATCCCTGCTGCTCACTAGGTGTCCAAGGTTGAACCTGCTTTGAGAGCCATCACTGCGCTTGGACACGAAGGCGTACGCCTCGCGCACAGCGTGATAGGCAAGAGGGGACCTTTGCCAATTGCGAATGTTCGAGAGGCGCTCAGTCCGCAATGATTGCACAAACAACAGGCCACACAGGAAAACAAGGGACAACAATATCCATTCTTTCATGGTACAATAGCGCGCACAGTTGCCCACAACAAGACCGTTATAACTCTACTATTTCAACCTTTCTGGATAGGTTCAAACATGATCTTCCATTACTACCTGCTTCTGTACAACTCACGAAGGCCAATGGAGTGCCTCGGGAGTAGCACAAAGACGAAAGGCTCATGGTAGATCCCTTTCATCGTAATCACCTTTCAGTCCAAGGTACATGTACAATGTATATCCGGATTGCTGGCTGTGGCATGTCCAGCACCATGCGTTCTAATAAGAGTTCCATCACTTCCTCTGCGCCTTGCAGCCATTTCCCAACTCAAGACTTCGTCAGTTAGTGTCAGCGCAGCGATTGTACCAACTAGTTCGTCTGCCAGCTGCCTTAGATGGCAGCCGCTCCTTTCCGTTATAAAGAACTAGACGAAGTCGTATTTAAATCACTTTCACATTTGCAGACATTCCTGCCTACACAGCTTGCGCTTGAACACCTCAGATTGCTGCGGAAGTTCCGTCACACGGTTCACAATCTTTGGATGTACATGTACGTCTGAAACTGAACACATCGTTAAGTTTCCGATCCACTGTGGCCGGTGAGAGTGTGTAAGGACCTGGAGGGTGCTTCCGAAAGAAAATTTTATGCTATTCATATGGATACGGTTTGATCGGGGTTAGATCTACTCCGTTGTGCTACTGCTCAACGTACTCTGTGAGACAAACACAAGGCTATTGACCAAGTATTGATAAGTCTATCTTGGTTGGATACATGCAAGTTGTTAGATTAGCTGTGTATTGTAAAAGCTTCCAATACAGTGTAGTAGGTTCCTAATGCAGGCAATTCTAACTTTGAAATCAGGGAAAACTCTATCAGGTCTCCTCGCTGCGCTAATGCCACAAAATTTGCAGACACCACAGAAATCATCAATAATCAGGTCCGTGGATGTCGGAGTGGCGCATCGGTATACCATTTTTACATGTACTTGAGAATGGGTTCTTCACAAAGCCAATTCCAGTCATTGTAAAGTGGCACTTTTGTAACACCTTCTAAGCGAGTGGCCGTGTTCGCCCGCCGGTGAATACAAGTACAGCATACCATGCATGGTATACCGTTATGAACATGGCTCCTTTAGCAGCCCGAAGAGGAGCGACCTGGATATTCTATTCCCTGCCTGGCGACAATACAAGAGCGCATACACGGGATGCGATTTCAAATGAAATTGGGCCTGCAAGGGACACGGAGAACAAAGCAGTGAACAGGATCGTGTCAGCTTTCCTGACTTCGCGGCATGTACTGTAACAATGGGGACATGGACAGACTGCCACTGGGACTCCATGGCACTATACAGGCAACATCTCACAACATGGACCGGGCGCCTGCTGCAGTCGTTTTGCGCTGCTTTATCACAAATTATCAATGCAAAGAACTAGTATTGCATGCGCAATTCGCATACTTACTCGTATAGGCAGATGTTGTGAAGACGTTAGTGTGCGTTAGAATGGTTCTTTGCTAGGAATTGCAATGCCGCAATATTATACTGAAATAACAACACAATTGCTGATAGGGTAGCGCCTTGTGGCCTGCATCTTCCCATATCGTAGCCTGAGCTGAGCTAGCCAAACCAGTAAGGTGTATCAATTGAGTGTATTCATACACGACGTCTAATTTACTGTTAGTTGCCACCTAACATGTACACGCAGCATCCACAGATAAAACCCGACTACACTGTACTTCGACGACTCTCGAGTCACAGACGTGTACATGTACATGTATACACACATACATGTAATACTTCGGACATGTACATGTACATGTACATTGTATGGGACATTGCGCCACATCTGGCGCCATCGTGAAGCTGATATTTGGTGTGTATGGACCACTGTGATTTGCCACTTGCCCTCGATAACGACACACATCCAGCACGCACACACACACATACATACACACGGGGAGATGTTACTTTGCAGGCTGTCTCATAAAAGACACGGTTTTACGCCAGAGAACGCGCCCCGAACGCTTATTACAATGTTTTGTCAGGGATTAGGTGTTACCTTACAAGTCAGAAAAACACACGGATTCCAGTCATAGTAGACAAACATTGGTAAAACTAGCTCTCCAACCTCGGAAGTTTTCAGTTACCCTTTCTACTTTCATGGAATGGTTATCCGCATTCGCTTTCCAGAAGACGTGTTCCTGCCAGATAGCTAGTGCCCGTCTTCCACTAATTTCTGAATTGATTTTTCCAAGAACTGTACTTGGCGGTTTTCTCATCACACCAAGGGTGGTGCTGTCAGTAGGGTAGAGTTCCTGAGCAGGGCGAGTGGGATGTGCGCCATGTTCGTTCTCTGCGAGGACCCTGCGAGGGCGCTGCGCGTGCCTGCTGTCCATTGCAAAGCCAGAATAGCTCCAGCCACGGCTGCGTTCGTGACGGCACCGCTTCTCCGGGTAAGGCATAATGATTATCTTTGCTCGAAGGTGCTGTTCATTTCTGCTGCTGGTACTTGTGAGAGTAAATCATGTTCTCTCTGTTCGTTGATGAGGAGCGTCTGTGGCTAGTAGTACGCGTCCTAGGACATGGTGATGACCTATTAGCACTGTAACGCTGAGTCGTGTTCACAACTGTGGGCATAAGTCCGAGAACAAGGAGAACATGGAGCGGCCTGCAACCTAGATAATAATTATCTCCATGTAGCTAACGCACCCAGGGGCAACTGTCTACCTTCGGGTAAAGCGACGGGACGCACACCTGGCAAAACGCCGGTCCCCGGATATGCACTGTGTCGTGATTTTACTTCAAACACTGTAACAGGGTTGCCCCTTTCAATTAAAATACATGTAGTTCTACTGCAGTTGGTCTATGCCTGTGAGGAGTTGGAGATGACAAAACAGGTGATGTCCAAACTGTTTACTTAGGCTGCACGTTCCCAGAAAGGGAACCTCACCAGAGTGCTGTGTCCCTATGCCGCCCAGCATGGACTAACTCAGTCCAGGGCGTCAGCTTGCCAACTGATCATTCGAGAACTCGGAATGCAGTACACAAACTTATAATCTAGTAGTAGTGAAGTATCATCTCGATAATGTTCCATCACTCAGTGAACGCCATGCTGTCACCTGACCAATGACTACTTGTGAACAGGTGTCATATCAATGTATGTGTCTAGAAATTGCCACTCTGCATCACGTGGTAAACGCGCAGGCAGAAAAAGAGACCTAAAAATACAGAAAATTCACGATTGGCGTGAGACTCGGCTGGAAGCCGAGTTTTCCGCATCCGCAGGAGGTGTGTAGATCAGACCCCCACAAAGACATTTTAAAAGTGTTCAAAGACCCAAAATCCAATTCACTGCACCCATGTTTCCCTCGTGCCCTATATTAGGCTATAACTCAATACATGTTGGACACACATACACATGTACATGTGTATGCATACTCATAGCAGTACAATGTTGAACAAGTTGTTGGTTGACAGCATGTAACAAGGTGGAGGACACCGTGTTCGCAAACAGTGACCTTTCTACAACCATCCACGGTTGGTAGAGCGCCGGTAGGTTTCAACCATCTAAACCGTATGGGTGTTAGACTCGGTTCTGACCCTCTCTATTCTAGAGGAGTTGTTTTAGACTTCTCGTAACGTCAGTCTTGTATTCTGTGATCGCTCCTGGATGTCTTCTGTTGTCAGCTGACGAGCTGAGACTGGGACGCCATGGGCAGAAGTTGAAAGAAAAAAGAAGTCAAAAGAAAGAAACAATTCAGACTAAACATAGCTTCTAAGTTTATGAGTATCAAGAAGGCATCCAGGAACTATCACAGAATACAAGACTGACGTTACGAGAAGTCTAAAACAACTCCTCTAGAATAGAGAGGGTCAGAACCGAGTCTAGCACCCAAACGGTTCAGATGGTCGCAACCGACCGGGGCTCTACCAATCGTGGATGGTTGTATTTCTTGTATTTTATTATATTTAAGGATTTCCCAAAGTCTTTGGGCCTGTCGAAGGGATCTCCTGCAAGAAGAATGAAATGACAACTTTATGTAGAAGGAAGTTGTAGAAAGTACTTCAAGTAAAGGTCACTGTTTCCGAACGCGGTGTCCTCCACCTTGTTACATGCTGTCAACCAACAACATGTTTGAACAAAAGCAAAGCGGTTTATCTAATACCCATGTTGAACAAGTACTGTAACTGCTTAGCCATGCATTCGTTGCGTGGCGAAACCTGTGCCACGGTGGGTACATACACTGTACTGTCATTACCAACCTGTGCCACAGTGGGTACATCCAATGTACTGTCATTACTAACCTGTGCCACAGTGGGTACATACACTGTACATGTACTGTTACTGTCATTACTAACCTGTGCCACAGTGGGTACATCCAATGTACTGTCATTACCAACCTGTGCCACAGTGGGTACAAACACTGTACATGTACTGTTACTGTCATTACTGCGACTTGTGAGTGCGATAATTATACTGTAATACATGTACATGTAGTTTTGGTGAAAAAGGAGAAGGACAAAATGTTACTTCGAAGTACGAGTTATGAGTCTTATGACTAACTGTCCACCAAAGTAACCAGATCTTATACAGTCAGCGAGTGCGACAAAATGTTGACTTTTGCACATGTAGTTTTCCTCACTGTTTATTTCTATTGCATGATTTGCATCAGGAGATTCCCTCGACAGGCCATCGCCTCTGGGAGATCCCTTAAATACAGATTACTATTATTATAATAACTTGAGCGGTCGGCTAGACAGCCGGGTTCCACTGTACAATGCACATGTTGATCAGATGGTTGTAGTAGTGGAACACGAACATGGGTAGATTCCCATCCAAGCATGCTCAATAATGAGCAATGAAAACAGGGCTAGGTTGTTCAAAATAAAACAATTTTAAAATTATCCAGGCATATACCACTACAGTTGAGAAGAAGTAGCGACGACCCGGCCATTATGGAATCCAATACACCACACCACCACATTGCGCTCTTGGCCGATCCAAACTCTGCACTCACATCACCATCACGGTACACCACAGCGAGGACAATTCCGGTATATAGATTGATATTGACAATGACCCTCCAGGCAAGTGCAGCCAGCCGCAGTATCTTTGTTTTTGTGGCACATGCAATAACT